CGTGTAAGTAAAATATTCATTTGCTACGCACGCGTTAAGTCCAATATATGCTCTAGTCCCACCCGCGGTGGACCTTTGGAATGAACGTGAGTGGAGGTGGGTCGTGAAATTACCGCGAAGTTCGATGCCTGTACCCACCGACGGGCGCTGYTGGCTAACCCGGACCAACCCCTGGATGTGATATGATAATATCGACGTTCACAGGGCTGTTAGAATTTGCTGCGTCAGCAGGTCTAAAGGTTACATGTAAAAGTTTAAAAAWAGTGTAGAGCAGTTAGAAATTCTTTGTATGTGCACGTAAATTTATTGGTTTCGTGGTAAGTACGTTATTATCAATTTATCGTATTGTTTAGGTATTAAATAAATTATATTTATGTAATTATTATTGTTTACTTGAAATATTATGATATTGGTATCAACTATCAAACTTGATATATATTTTGTATAATAAATATTAAGCCCTAAATAATAAAGATATAGTGATAGTAATTATTAAAACATACGAAATCCATATTATTGCTTTATTTTGGGTGGTTTGCGTTTGGGCGAGTTTGTAAAAATTGTAATGAGTTTGGGTTAACTTTTTGAATATCCTGTGATGTGTTTTACAGTATTTTATCAAACTTCTCATTTATGTGATATTATATTATATTTATATATAATATATAATAAGTGACATTATAATGAGTTCACATTTCTTATGGTCACGCAAATTGTATAATAATAATACTTAATTCTATASTTATTATGTAAAGGTTGATATAATAATACAATATAATATATTATAACATTTGATTTTAACCACTATAATTTTTATCATTTATATACGTACCAACGTCATTTATACTTTTATTGTACCTATTATAGTCGCTCAAATACAATGTAAGGAACTCGCCCAAACACATTGTTTGTATTAGGTGTATAAAAAAGAAATTCAACCAAACAAGTGATGTTTCTTTACTTTTTATAAAAAGCTACTATGCTAGGTACTAAGTAAAATTTTAAAATTAAATTATTTATTCTATGCATTTTATTGAAAATTGAAATTGTATACATAATGAAAGACAATTTATTAAAATTGATACTAAATAAATAAATAATTATTAACTAATCAAATCAATTGTATACAGTTTTAACCACCTACTTAATATAGTAGTTTAATGTCATTGTGATCTTAAGTCTAAACTATAATAAAAAAATCGTAAATATTTGA